CTACAACAACGACAACAACAACTACTACTACTACTACTACTCCTCCTCGTGCTGCTGCTGCTGCTGCTGCTGCTGCGACTGCTACTACTACTGATACTGCCACTGCTTCTGCTACGAGTGCGGTTGCTGCCGCTAGAATTGCTACGGCGCCGACGACGACGACCACGACTACTGCTACCACTACTATTACTACTACTCCTACTGCTTCTCCTACTGCTACTCCTGCTCCTGCTCCTGCTCCGATTTCTGCTCCTGCTCCTGCTGCTGCTGCTGCTACTGCTGCTGCTTCTACTGCTACACTGTTACTGCTACTCCTGCTCATACTCCTACTCAGACTGCAGCGACAACTGCTACACTTCGATATGGACACATCGTGTCTGTCCTTCACGCGCTTGGGCAGGTGTTGGGTCTGAACAGGGCGTAATGTTGCGCGTCAGCCGCCGGGTCACATGTCTTGAGATTTTGTAGGGGTTTATAAGTTCTAAGATCACGCTGACATGAGCACATCGTGAGGTCATCCTACTGCAGCAAGTGTGTGCACCATGTCTGCTGTGAAACATTTTCGAGACGCATTTCGGCCTCGTTCCCCAAAACGCTCCGGCTGTCTCTCATTCGCCAACACATTGTTGTGGCTGACTTTATTCTGTTCTGCTGACGGTGCTTATGGTCCGAGTCAACTGTGATGCTGCCTCTGCACTCTCGGCAATAATTACATCAAGTGGCGCCGAGCATCAACGAACAACCCTCGCAACTGCTTTACAATCATGAATTAGAGATGTGAAAGGACAAATCCAGTCATCTCGCCTACGGCCAGGTCAATCAACTTGCTATTTCCAACGAGGTTTTCTGACACGTACAGGGTCAGGAAGTGGCCATGGTCTGCCTTCGGTTCTTGCATCGACCGCGTGCTTTCTTAAGTTCTTGGCGCACGGCTTCAGACAGGTTTCCCTTCGTGACGAGATTGCCATCATCTAGAATCTGCGATGCAACCTAGTCAGAGTGCAAGGGAGCGTCTTGGATGGCCACGCAGGCTCAGGACAACACGCAGGAGCTGTTTTTGGAGCAGCCACCACCCTGGGTAGATCCTGCATCCTGGGCAGGGTGGCGGGTTTGACAGTGTCGGAACTACTCAGGGTACCCGCTCAAAGCTTGGAGATTTGAAGTGTGGGGCTTTGGGCACTTTTGGCTGGCCCAGCGATGAGAATGCGATGGTGGTGTGCGGTCCTACAAAAAAGTAAGAATGAGGGAATACAGCTGGTACGTGCTTCAACACCAAGTTCTAGGCTGTTGCATTGGGGTGTGGGATCCTGAGTAAATGACAGTGTGATCGGGGCACAAATTCATACCGTAACGCGCACGCAACAGCTTGTCAAATCGTATGCAGAGATACACTGAAAGTTAAAGCTGTTCAAGACAAGTGTGCACATGTAAATAGATTCACAGATGTGCCGCTCGACTATGCCACAAACGGCTTGATTTTAATGTGGCATGGCTGCTCCAGAGATACTCGAAGCCTTAAGCCCTGCACCCCCCTGTCCCAAATTCAGCTCGAAACCTTAAACCCTCAAAGCCGTAAACTTCGCAGCACCTAGGCTCTGTAAACCCTGCCTTAAATTGTCGAGTGGCGCCGGGATCCTCAGAAAGAGCTCGCCAGTTGGTGTCAACCATGGTGGTTAGGCGCTGCGTCAGTTCTTCCTCGAAAGGGTGAACAGGACTGAGCTGAAAGAAGGAAGTCGCGCTTCGGAGCATACTGGACGTTCATGATATCAGGGTGGCCACTATGCAGGACGGACTCCTTGCAAAGGGGAGTGCAGGCTGGTCGACGACTTGTGGCAGCGTTTCTCTGCATATTGTTAAGTAGTATAGGTACACGGAGGCTGTCAGTTTAAGGATGGCATCTGTCGGAGGTGAGCTGTGGGCCTCCTCAGACCGAAGACCCGGCCATGTGTTTGCGGCAGTTTCTGTCAGAACAGTTATTGTAACACCGATAGCCCAACCCAAGGAGGTCCCGGAGATGTCGACTGGAGCTTGGGCTTCACAGCCCGGCTACAGCACAGAACCATGCCTTGGGGGTTCGGAGCCTAAGAGATCAACACGCTCGAAATCAAGCAACTTGTTGTTTCAAACCGAAGAGCGCACTCAATGTACGTGCACTACTGCCGTCGCGATTCCGGATTGTAATATACATCCATGCCAGTGATCTGCAGCTCCATGTTGACCTGCATTCAGCTCTTGTCCCAGCTAAGAGTCACGTCACACAGAATCCAAATATCCTTGCAGGGGATGCAGGTCTGACCCTTCCACGAGTTGAATCCTCGATTGCAACGCGAAGTTGATTTCTTCGATTTCCTGCGGAGGCTGATGCTATGCAAGGCTTTCTTGGGGTCATGAAAGACGAACCTTGCGAACTTGTCAGGCTCCTGTATTGCGATGATGGACGCTGGTGTGCTGGTGCTGCTTGTGCTCTCTCTGTGCTTACCGTTTGCTTGTGACACGTTCCTGGCATGCATCTCTTTTACAAGACATCCTGCTGCGTTGACCACAAAGGACGGCGTCTTGGAAGGAGGATTCATATTTGTCGTTGTTGTAGTGGCTCCCCTATTTCGCCATAGCTGCTACTTCGGAACATTCTTAAACGACTATTTGCTGTGCCGCTTTTGCCAGTAATGTCGCGATCCTCAATTTCAGGTCTTCGTAGTTTAACACTGTTTGAACTTCTATGTTGCGGCACAGCTTCCAACGCTATGACTATTGCAAAGCTCTTTGCAATAACTTCGTTGTGAGGACAGAGGATAACGCTAGTACGGGTGTTCTGCCACCATGTGCATGCCAGCAACGACGCCAACACTGTGACTCGCTAGGCAAAGCATGGCGGCTATGAAGCGTAATCCTGTTGCTTCGAAGCAGTCTGACTGCTGTGAAATCCGGTTTGCAACCCTAATATTGTGTCGTATCATCCGGTGTTCGAGGCTGCGTGAGAAAGACTCTTGCCTTGGCAATGCACATCCCAACAATGCCTCGGCTGTTTGGAAGATATTCGGAAACAGGCTGCTGTGACTTGATCGGATATCTGGAGGTGTCTGGCGTTCTTACCCTCAAAGGTTCATCAGCATAACACTGATAACACGGCTACCTTCCAAAAGAAAAGCTCTTGTGCGACCGACTCAAGTAAACTCATGCAGACCTTCCCTGGTGGCATTCTAGACCCTAAGCCCCGAGCCTTAAATGCTACTGAAGCCGAACATCATGCTGTAACCCCTTGAGCCCCGAACGGTGAACTTCAACTTACCAATGCCTGTGGGAGAACTTCCGCCTTAGCAGTGATGCCAAGGCTATTCATAAGTCAGGCCGCAAGTGTTGAGGCGTCCTGAAGGGCTGCCTTATTGGAACCATAATTCAGAACCCCCAGACCCACCTGTCCTGCGTTTCTGTCAAGTGCTGGCGGCTTAGTGTTCAGATTCCTAAAACCTTTGCTGTTGCTGCAAGTCTTGTTGTACCTGAGGAAGGCTAAAAAAGCCGGGCTGCTCACCATCTGCCCGTTGCCCTTATATCTGCGGCCAGCTTTGTCAGTAAACACGCCGGTGTACTTTCCAAAGTGTCTCCACTTGAAGACGACCTTGGCGGGCACGCGCCGGATGGAACACCACGAAGGTAGAATGCAAGAGACATGGTTGCACCACCCCACCTCCTGAAAGGATCAAGTCAAATACCAGCAATGTGAACTTAAAGCACAAACCTCACTCTGGAGGGAACGATGTTGGTGCCGAAGCCAGGCCATATCATAACACTCGATTGTTTTTAACCTGAGCCCTGAAGCCGGAGAGAGCTAAGCCTTCGAGCTAAAAGCTCGGAGACCCTGAAGCCATGGTACCGTGAGGAACTTAGAGCCCGGAATATGATCCTTCATGCTTCGTGCCCCGAGTAAGATATACTTTCTCAGATTGTACTATCTTAGATTTCGCACTATTATATTATGCTGTCTCCTAATATTTTTGTTATGTTATGTTGGATTCGATTAAATAAGATTGGATTAGATTAGGTCATATCGTACTATATTATATTAAGTTATATTATGTCATGCTGTATCTCTGGAGCTCAGGGACAGTCGGCGGTCCGGAAAAGACCTCCGCGGCGGCTTTTGGCACCGTACGAGGCTTTCATACTGTAATGAATTCCAGCGTTACACTTCCGGTTCTTGTCTTGGACGCCCTTTTGACCACAACCAAAACAAGTGGATGAGGAGGAGCGGTAGGAGGACGACTACTACCACTACTACCACCTGTTCATTGAACCACTTCGGCTCTCAACAACTACAGCTTCTACTTCTGCCGCTGCCATTTCTGGCGACGACCACGATCACCATCACTGCGACAACTGCTACAACAACAACCATGTACTTCCACTTGAGCAATCCCATTCCAGCCCTTTTTGGCTTGAAGTTGGAGGCAGCTTACAGGGCTTCGGCCGGAGGCTTGGAACGTTTCTAGGTTTGACTGTTACAGCGCTGCTTTTCCAAACTGCAGACTCAGGATCTTATTTTTCAGTTCGTGGGCGACATTCCAAACTCGGGTCTTCGGAAAACCAGCAAGAAGGGCTGCAGTTTCTTTGGTCAAAAACCAAAACCCGCAGGTTTTGCGCCGAATTGGGATGTTGCGGTGTCCGAATCTCACCTCACGAGCCTGTGCCTTAATGTAGGGGCCGAATGGCAAGACACAGGACCGACAGCCATAAGCCTACTCTGTGCATCCAATTCCCAGAGCAACGCCTCTGAAGGCCAATAACAAGCGCAAGCAGAAAACCCTAGATGTAGGGCCTTAACAATTACCTATACTATTTTGGTGGTTCGTTATTGTAATTATAGTATACACTCACCAAATCCTGAGACATCCCATCGACTACACCTCCAGGCATTCCCAGGCAAAGCCCATGGGAAATGCGGTGCGAAACACCTGTTGCGGGCTTGGCTGTCTTTAGGTATGCGGGGTGTTAGCCACCCTGAGCAATAGATTTTTGAAAGCAGCAGCTGAAGTCAGATTCAGAGCATTGGGACAAGAATACAGAGCACTGGAGGTTAGTCTTCAGGGATCCAGGGCTTCAAGGGCTGAGGAGGGGTCCAACTTCCATTCGATCTAGATCTGAACAGCCATGGACTAACCGCAAAGTCTCGAATTTGGAAGCTTCCTCAGACCAGTTGTCCAAGGCTAAAGCTTCACGAAGTGCTCCGCATTTGAAGGCCCTTTCGACTTGATTTCGGAATCCCCAAAGCTGGACTCATTAGTACGGCAGCTGGACATGTCCCACCAACCGTGGTCTCGAAGCTGATGAGTTAAACAACCTGCGGCCCTACAGTTCAACCTTAAGCCTACAGATCCATGTCGGCTCTCCCAGGTTCCAAGGGCTCTGTATGTGAGGGTTACAGGCTCTCTGAGGTTGTGGGATCTTGGTTTGGGGTTGGGGTAAATCTAAACACGCTGATCTGAGTCCCTCTTCCCGTGAACCCTCAGCCTTCGGGTTTGAACTGTAAAATTTAGCCGTCAATCGGGATTAGAGCGTGGGGATTTGGAGGTTACCTTGGCTACGGTATTCTTTGGGTTGGGGTCTACCTTTATCGGGCCCCAAAGTTCCCGACTCCGTAGTTCCGCGACAGATGCAGATCTTTACCAAAAATGGGACCCCATGTGGAACCTAGGACCTAGGATTTGTGACAAATTGGCTGTCTTCCGATAATCGGTGTAGTACCGCTGCAGGGACTACAAGGTGTTTAATCTTTCTGTTTATTCGACCTCGACCCCGCCCCGCCCCCCCCCGCCCCCCGCCCCTCCCACAACATGCACCTTCTGGGAGGACTCGAAGCTATGTACTCCTGGGTCTTGGCGTCATTGGGCTCTAGCTTCAATTTTACCCTACTCCCCACATAACTCCTAAAAAACACCGAAACCCAAAATCCCAAGCAGCTAGGTGAGGGTGCTCGATGGTCTTGAGACGAAGGGGTCGCAGCTCAATCTCGTGGTTTCAGGCTTCAGGACCCTTCTCATTCGTGATTTGGGTCTTCATGGACTTTGGGTCTTAAACGAATGAACATGACTTAGAACTTCAACTGTGAACCCCCCCACTGAACCGTAGCTCGGGATGATGCATCACGACCCTTTACACCCAACGCTCTGAACTTTATAAGATCAACGATGAAGCTGCTTTGGCGGAGAACAGGGTTGCGAGCTGCTAGAACCGAGCTGATTTCAAGCACACATGGCCGCCGAACACTTCGACATCACCCAGTACAAGACTGATGCTTCGAATCTCGAGCTTGATATGTAGATGTATGTAGGCGTGTTTGCGTGTGTGTGTGTGTGCTTCTGTTGCCGCTGCTGTTGCTTGCTGTTGTTGTTGCTGCTGCTGCTGCTGTTGTTGCTTTTGTTGCTGCCAGTTGTTGCTTCAACAATTGCTGCTGCTGCTGCTGCTGCTGCTATTGGTGGTGTTCCTCCTCCTGTCTCTACCCCTACACCGAAAACCCGCTTGTTTTGCGCCTATGACGTCGACGGCGACGACGATTCCTCGTCTTGATGTCGCTAGTTCTGGGGGTGCCCCTCGCTGTCGACTAAAAAAGGCGACTAAATCACAAGCAACCACAGAACCAACAGGTCGTTCAAATGAGAAACAGGCAAGCAATCAGACGCTCTCGAGTCAGCCGCGGGGCTATAGTTGTAGTCTCGGGACTCTCCCAAGAACCTGCCGCCGAAACTCCGATGGAACTTGAAAGCTCCAGAGACTAGGATCAGAGAGATGTAGGGATTGCAAAAGCAATGGAGCTGGGATTTAGAGACCAGGGTGCAGGTGTCCGGGTTCGGGGCAAAGGGTTGAGGATGGTCTGGCGACTTGCCTGAAACAAAAAGCTGGTTCGGGTTTCAGGATCCTTGCAAGCACAAACAAGGCTCCGATATATGGGATCCATAATGGATCTATATGGATTCGAGGAATCCTTTTGATGACGAAAACGTCTTGGGTCTGATGATTTGGGGGTCGTACAGCAGGATCACTGCTGGGCTCAAGGCAGTTCGCGTGTTGGGTTGCCGAGTTGAGAGGACTTGATGCCTCAGCTAAACGAGGGCTTTAAGATTTCAGGTTTTGGGCTCTGTCTGGGCCACCTGCTGGGAACAAACACGCTACATCATCAAAGCCATAGCCTTTCTTATAACATCATATAACTTAATCTCTCCTTCTTAAAGATCCGAACGAATATTAAAATCCTTACCATCGTCCCTAAAGTCCCTACTCAGGGAAGGAAGTCTTGCGTAAGTGTCTACGTCCCTGAGCCCACACCCTGAACCTTTTCAATGCTTCTCCGAATCTTCGTGCTCGAAGTTCGAAGTGCAGAGTGAAAAAAGCTTGGCTTGAAGGATTGACCCGATAGTTACGGGAAGAAGGTACGGTAGTTTCAGGAGACCTGTAGTAGCTTCAGGTGTATGGAGTCGGGTTTGTCGCCACCTCTCGGGTGCTGACGGTTAAGCTGCAAGTCGTAAGGGCGGGACAGATTGCATGCCCCGAAGTCGGACATGTGCTGTGCCTTGGGAGAACAAGAGTCAGCTGAACTCCCCCACAACATCTGAACTATCCTAATCCTAATTTTGATCACTTACAGGAGAGGAGCCCCCGTCCAAAACATGCAGCACGCTGGGACCAGGAAAAGCGGAAGTAAGAGCGAATGCCGCTTACCTCTGGCGCTTGGAGTCTTGGAGCAGCGGATTCAGGGTTTGCAGCTTGGCATTGTTCTATCAAACTTCCAATGAGGACCTTCCCCCCAGCAGTTTGAAGCAACTCTGCAGGGGGCGAAGGGTTTAAGAGAGCTCGGGGCTTCGGGCCTAAAGCGAGGCACTCGGTAAAACAAAAATCTCGCGAAGGCACCATCTGCCTCGTGAGCTGAATTCGAAGCCCGGTGGCTCTGCCAGTAAGGCCACTACAATAAAAACTTGAACCGCACAACAAGAGAAGGACGAACGCGAGACCCTTGCTCCATCAAACCAGAAAGCCATATACCCCAACAAAACCCCCCCATCATGTCGCCACAGCCACCATGAAAGGGCAGCCACCGTTGATTGCACCCTGCCAGGTCTCTCTTGCTGTGTTGCTTGGGGCGCTTCTGGGCCGCACATTCCCAAGGCAATCCTGAACATATATGTTTGGGGCTGGTGCAGAACTCACAAGTTCATTCGGCGTTTTATGTTAGAAAAGATGGTCATTCAAGTCTGAGGCCAAGGCACTCGAGGGCTATTACCAAAACACTCCCCCAGAACTCAGAACTAAGAAATACCATCCAGTCATTTGGACCCCCAATACAACCCTGTGAGGTCCCTAAAGGAAGCCAATATGACCCATAAACTCCTTACGGAGGCAGCGACTTCTGCTTGCTCCTCCTAAACCCGAGACCCGACCCTTCACGCAGAAAAGCCATAAACCCACACGCACCACAACCGGGCTGGGTCATAAACCCTAAAGCCTAGCTGCTCAATTCAGCAACATAGCTGACTTCTAAACTTACAAATACGTATGAGAATAATGGTAATGATTAGAATGATAATAAAAGTAACAAAAAGAAGCCCTCTAGCCTGGAACTTCGAGATGTCCATGGTCTTCCAGTGCTGAACATCGGCGATATGATGCGCTTCCACGGCCTGGGATTTAGGGTGTATCGGTTTAGAGGTCATCGAGTCTAAGGGGTCTAGGTCTGACGGTGTTTTGGGATCGACAGGTTGTGTAGTGTGTACCAAGTTCAGAGGTGTTTTGACGAGTTTCGAGAGTCTTCGAGGGCATGCGGCTTTTTGAAAGCTTCATGGCTTGCGGGTCGAACGTCGAAGAATTGGAGCACTGGGTTTCGGCGGGTATACGTAGGTAGATGAAACATGGCATCATTGCCCTCCAGGTGGAAAACAATGATGTAGCATTCTGTTGAGGTTTAAAGTTGGAGCCACAAGGTTGAGGCTTTCGCGAGGGTCGTTGGTACCTTACAAGCATTCTAGAGCCTTTGTGCCTCAGGGTCTCTTTGGCAGGCGGACCTGAAAGCGGTGTGTACCTTCTAGCGGGATTTGAGAAGAACTCCCACTCACTGCGCAAAGGTGGACTCGAGGTTTTGGATCCTTTCGGATTTCGAGATCGGGTTCGTCGGGTCACAGGTCAGTAGGCTCGAGGCTCCAGGTTTCTAAGGATGGCGGTTTCAGGGTTGTCATGTGCTCTGGAAGAATGCTCCAAACCCTAAACCCTAAACCCCTAAACCCAAAACCCTAAACCCTAAACCCTAGCAAGGTTGCGCATGATCGCAGCGGCTGGAGCTCAAGGTCTTGGCTTTGGGGTTGGAAAAACCCGGAGTTGGTGACGATTTACAAGGCTGTACGGACCAATTTGTCGCGGAATTGCTTCCAATGGTAAAAGCCCTAATGAGACCTAAACCCTAAACCCCAAAACTGCATCGACGAAGAATAATACCATATTCTACAAGCGCTATAACTAAGCTTGTCCTTACACGCTGAGAAGACCATAACACCCCACAGCTCTAAGCACCTACACGCTGCAACCCTAAAGCTACCTTAAGATCTTGGGTGAAACGTGTGAGAGCGCAGGGCTTGATCGTTGCTACCTGGTTTTCAGCTCAAGAAACATGTTTTTGAGATGGGGTGACGGCGCTTTCTGCGCATGTCGGCTTTACAGTAGGGTGTCGGGATCCCGACACGTCTGGGTTTCGAGCCTTTGGTGCTGCTCCCATCCAACACACAAGTCTGTGCCGGTCAGCCTCAGTCCTGAAGAGCCGTGAAACTCCAGAACCTGCATTCATCTTACTACCTATAGTCTCCATTGTAGTTTTTTTGGGGTTACCTTTTGGGATCCTTAATATAGACTTGGTTAAACCAAAAAAAGGAACTACAATGGAGACTATAGGTAGTACCTGCATACCATAAACACAGACTAGGTTCCCAGTTCTTGATCAGCTTGCTGACGATGGCCTCTAGAGAGCCCACCTGCTTCACCAAGTCAGGGCAAGGAGAACGCTAGACCCTAAACCGAGGCATCTTCCTTCTGCACTCTTTGAGGCATTAGGTTCGGGTGGGCTTAAGAGACCTTGCACCGCGAAGCATAGGCTGCTCCCGGCTTCATTGTGGTCTGACCCAGTTGTTTATCCGTTTGACCCGGGCTTTTGGGAATTCCAGGGTTTCTGACGGTTTACAGGAAGCTCAGCTGCTTCTGCAACCTGAACAGCCGACACTAACTGGACCCGAAACAAGAGAAAGCCGAAAGGTGCTGTTCGTTGCAGCCCAGCCCGGCCGTGCGGTCTGCCTCTGTGAGCGTTCTGTAAGGGTGCTGCACAGGGGCAGTTCGGATCTTAGTGCAAGTCCCTGATAGAAACGACAGCCTACAGGTATCTCAACAGTTGAAGCATCTAGCCAGTGTACAGGCGCCGCACTGCAAGACGAATATAATGGGTATTGTTCAGAACGTCCTTCAGGCCATGCTATGAAGGAATACAAACCCACAGCCGACACCCTTGAGTATCAACTCCGACTGTCTTTGCAGGTTCTATCCTTGCACCGAGCCCTACAGCGTGAATCTTCAATTCGCATGTTGTGAGGAGATCATGTGGAGATGTCCTGGACGGTTCGACGCAAAGAACCCTGTTTACATTCCAGATCGGATCCTTTGTCAGACCGACCGATGAAGAAGGGCATACAGGGATGTTTGCACATTTCGAGGGCTTTAGAGGAGCCATTTCAGTTCCTAATTGAATCTTACTTAGACCGAAAGCCCAAGCCCATATCGGCCTAGACCCAAAAAGACTCAAAGCACCTCGTGCTCTAGCGATCGGTACTCGAAGAAGGTCCGGTTTACCTGGGCGCTAGCACACGATTCGCAACATTAAAAGCACAATGACACGAGAACACTCAGTGGCGACGATGACGGTTCATCTTGTTTCGAGCGCGAATTGGGTGTTTCTGGTCGGTGACGGTGGTGTTGAGGCTCATGATAGCCCATGGCGCTGCCGGACTCCAAGCGGTGACACTACCTATGTCAACTGTGTCGTCCGAGCTGCCCTATGGAACAACATTCGTGGCCACGCATGCCAGGAACAGAGCAACCATCCCACAATGCACCGCAGAGCGACATGCTCAGGCAACTGAAAAAGACAGTCACTGAACCCTAAGTTTAAATCCTACAGCTTGCGAAGTTGCAAGCTCTAGTCATTAAACTTCATTGAACGTCCCGAAATCCTGTCACCTTGCGCTCCGTGCCTTTAGGCATCAAAGTATCAGTCTGGGAGCTATGAGGTAGTCAGGCTTCCCCGAGCGCCAGGAAGCTTTCGGATCCGGCACATAGTCGCGGATCACCTGTTGCTCTAACTTAACAGCGGGAGGGGAGGTACTACACACAATAGCACCCAAACGGGGTTTCTTTCGGGCACACTGTTCCTTGCGAAGCTGGAACAAGTCTCGACTTTAATTAAATTGATGCCGTACCCTAAACCCTAACCTGTCGAGCCTTGGTGAATGTCCACTTCCTTGTCCTTGAGGAGGCCCTCTATGTTGGCACGGGAGACCCCTCATCATCCTCTCCCTACCTCTCTGGACTCCTTGGGCTTTCAAGCTCAACCCCTTTTGATCTTGGTCTTAGCCTGTTGCTTTGATCGAGATTTCAAATCTAAGCCTAAGCAATAACACCACAGTCTGATGATGGCTGACTTCTTTCTCATTTAGAGGTCATCCTGTGAACTCGTCCTTCAACCAGCTCCACTAGCTCCAGCTGGATGCTGCCATGATGGAGATGAGATGAGGCTGACGACTCTGCCCGTGAACCTTACTAAATGTTACTTTCAAACCCCTCTTGTTCTTCTAGTTCGTAACATCTACATGTGGCTGTCATGATAGTTGCGGTCATGATTGCCCCGCTATGGCAACAACCATGAAAGCCGGGCCAGGCCTCTCCAAAGAATTTGCCGGTAGATTCTTCCGACAGCTTGCCGTCCTTCCGGTGTTCCCAACCCTAAACCCTAAACCCGATTCACGGGCTTCTGTTTCATCCTACCTCTGGCTCAAGTCTCAGGGGTTTCGGGCAGCTGGTGTAGATGTACTACCCTGCAACTCTGTCTGCCACACTCATAGTATCAAAAACCCTAAGCCCCAAACCCTAAACCCTAAAAGGTAGTTTGGACACGACACCTTAAAACCTTGCTCTGTCCGGCGAACCCTGAACCCATCCCGGTCTCCTCTGCTTTCGTCTGAGACGCCATCGCCGTGTCAGATCCGACCTCTGCGCAGCCGCGGTTCCACTTAATTCCATGAGACGTGTCGGGGTCCGGGAATTAGATTGGATTGTGAGGTTTTCACGTTTAGGCCTTGGGGCTTTAGCCACTTAGGGTTGTATGGTCTCAGGGTTTGGCGTGAAGTCGAATTGGGGTTTAGGAAACTGGGTTTGAACTACGAATAGAAGCGACAAAAATCAGTCCCTTGAGCTGAGGCAGAGGGAATTCCAGCAGTATCATCCTAAATCCAGGCTCCAACTGCCAGGCACTCAGGGCAGGCAGGGTCAGGAATGGGGGGGTTTCGGGCTTAGGGATGTAAGGCTTTTTCATGGCTTCAGGCAGTTTGGGTTTTTACGGGTCTCCAGGATGTTGCGAGTTTGGTGTGGGGGTTTGGGACCTGAAGTTTTGGGATTTTTGCGCAGGATTTTAGGCCGATGGTGTGCCCACAGAGATTTCACCGGGGCCTCAACACGGCTCTTGCAGGCATCCTACATGTCATATATTTTACACCTCGACATGCAACAGCCAGTCCAACGTCCAAACCCTAAAGCATGAACGCAGAAGTCGCCTGTTGACCACCAGCCAACACATGAACTTAGACTGTAGAAAGGCTTACGATTTTGGGCTTGGAGCCATTACAGGCTGAAACTCACAAAAGAGTCTCCGACCCGCACCTAACGCAATCGAAATTCTGTAGCGCACAAACCCGTCCAAAATTGCCGCCCCCACCCCCCGCTGAATACATGCCACGTGCATATTACAAAAACAAACAAGCAAACAAGCAAGCAAGCAAGCAAGCAAACACACAAACAAACAAACACACGTGTGCTCGCTGCCAAATGCTGTCAAACAAACAGATTGACCACGTGGAACCGTTTGTTGCAAGCCTGCTAGACTGTTAGACTCTTTGCCGACACATCGCAACTGCTCTGTGCATGTCTCCAGCCCGTATAACCTTTTCCACTAACTCTTAGTGTCTTAGTGCAGGAACCCCGCGGCGTTAGCATGCACATTGCTTGGTGAACGAAGAGACAGACAGACAGACAGACAGACAGACAGACAGACAGACAGACAGACAGACAGACAGACAGACAGAGCCGCCCACACCCCCACCCACCCACCCACCCACCCACCGACCGACCGACCGACCGACCGACCTACCTACCTACCTACCTACCTACCTACCTACCCACCCACCCACCCAGCCAGCCAGCCAGCCACCCCCACACACCCACACACACAAAAAAAACACAGGAAAGAGCCACAACAAACAAAACCCAGGGCTGTCATGGAGCTCGAGCCGGGATCTTCGCGGCAAGATGAACCCCCGATGCTAGGAAGGCGGTGGTGCTGTTAATGCACGACTGTGTATGGCTCCATATGTGCATAGATAAATAGATAGATATATAGATAGATACATAAATAGGTACAGAGATCTACACAGCACAGAAACAGAGTTCTGCTTCTAGAAAGAGCTGGCATGGAGTTTTCTGAGTTTCGGATGCAGGCTTTGGGCTAGAGTCGCTTTAAAACGGCTGTGTGCATGTTTAGATCCGGGTTTAGGGCTTAGGGTCCAGGGCTTCTGAATATCTGCTTCCTCTAGAACTCACGTTTCCGATTTCGACATACATGCTGCTATGACGAACTTTGGTATGAACATCAAGAAGGACCCTAGGTTCGAGCTATGAAGCGGCAGCAGATCATCAGCATCCAGGACTAAGGGTGCGGGGTGGAAGGTCTGCAAAGTAGCATTGAGTTAGGACATGTCTCTGACTTATGAAACCTAAGTCTACCTCCTGTGCTGTGGGATCCTCTCTGTCGCAAGAACCGCTAGGCAATTGGGGACCAGCCCTTGCTAGCAGCCAGCATGCACCGGGTACTTCGATCCCACCCATCCTTACATCCATACCAATGACTGGTTGCAACATTCTTGCAAGCCTTCTACATCTTCGAGAAGCTCGTTCGAACACCAACAAGAATCTCTAAATCCACCGGCAGACTCGACTGGCAACGTCATCCTGCCAAACTGACATCTAAAGTTCCTCGCATAGCCACCTGAAGCCTGAAGCCCCTAAGCTGAGGCCAGAACGCATTCACTCAGGCTTGCAAGCAAATATCCGAGCCTTCAGCTAGCATTGCATCGCAGATATCGCTTTTTACCACCGACCACTTTTGATTTCAGGCCACAATGAAGCCTGTGCTTCAAGCCCGTATACTGTCGAAGCTTCCTAGACACCACCCAGAGAGCGAGCGAGAGAGAGAGAGAGACAGAGAGATCTACACACACACACATATATATATATATGTACATACACAATGTAGATGTATGTGTGTAAATCTACATACAGGCACGCATACACACAGAATGCACACACGGGCGCCCGCCCACACACACACACACACACGCGCGCGCGCGCACGCGCACACACACACACACACTCACTCACGAGTCCGAGTATCGGACACAAGAAGCCGGAGACGCCAAGCCGAATCGAATCCATCATGGAAACCTCTGTGAATTCTGAAAAAAGTCTCCTCAGTCTCCTCATCCTCCTCCTCTCTACCGTTACTGCATCTGATGCAATGGCTGAAGTGGAACCACAAGACAAAGAAACAGCACCCAACACTTGTGCCTCAAGCACTTATAGTTTTAATTCTTCAGCAGGCCGCCAGACCAAAACCAGACTCTTCGAGCAAGGGCCATATGAAAGTCCTCCAGCCATGCAGCAGCCCTGTTGTACCCGCCCAAAGCAACCCTGAAAATACCCTTGGCCAGGCACTGTACTCTTTCTCTTGCTGATCCACCAAGTGCAGGTCAGCAAAAATGAAATGGGTAGAGCGCAGACTGCGAAAATCGCCGCTTCAGCCGAAACCCCTTGGCTCAGCCGATGCAGCCGGACAAGGGCATCTCTTGGACCAACGTGTGTCGGTCCGCAAAATCGCTCTACCCGCTGCTGGACGATCTAGCTTACTGGTATGGTGCACGACCTGCTTGCCCAGGGGTGGCATTCAAAATCCACCGGAAGCAAGCTCAAAGCATAACCAAAGTCATGCACGTGCTTAGCTGGGCCCAGATGCGAAACCTGCCGGTGCACTCACAGCTTCGAGAGGGCCGAGGACTTCTTGACATCCGTGTCCAGTCTCCGGACCTTTTGCTGCACATTTGGCCTATCTGCCTGCAGTCCCCAAGCCTACATAGTGGCAGAAACAAATATAACCCTTATACCATAGGGTTCTGGGATCCACACGCTATAAGCGTTTAGGATTGAGGATCATGGCTTTCATGAGTGGCCCTATGCTTCCACATCTCTAGTGCCAGGTACTCCCAAGTATCCGCGGCAGCTTTGTCTTTTGTTGGCTCGGCCAGAGCACAGTCTGAAGGTCTGGCAGGGTTCTGAGCTTTAACAGGGGTTCGACCTTCGGATTTAAGTTTGGGAGTTTCGGGTGCAGAGTCGCGCGATTGGCGCTTCGGGTAGCGGACGCGCCACTGCAATTGTAAACCCCGAAACCCAGTGAATCCTGCACCCAATCGCCCGAAGCTCTAAACCCTAAATGCTAAACCCTAAACCCTAAGCCCGAAGCTGAAGATGTCTCAGAGCGCGGCATCGCCCCGGCGCACTGTCGCACTGCCTCGTGCCGCCGCACTCAGAGTTCCGGATGGTTACCGTAGGATCTCCGGGTTCAGTGTGTTTAGGGTTTAGGGTTTAGGGTTCAGCATCTCCTGGGTTATTTTTTTGCATCACGGCTTCAGGATATACTGTATGCCCATAGGCTCCATAGTAGTTCCTTTTTTGTGGCGAATCCTTTAGGATCCTCTAAGGTAATCCCCAAAAGGAACTACTATGGAGCCTATGGGTACAGACGTTTGGGGTTGAGATGTGAAGATCTCTGAAACTCAGGGGCCTAAAAGGAGCATAAGATTTTTGAGGGAGGGCTTCAGACGACCCAGGAGCCCTGCAGCCGAAGTTCCCAAAGAGAACCTGCATAGGCTCCCACAAAGACCGTGACTCTGAGCCTTAAGGCCCCGCCAGCCTAAACCCAAGAAGCCCTTAAAAAGCTAAACCCTCATGCCGCAGACGCTTAGTCAAAGCCTTCAAGCTCCAAACCACTAAGCCCTTAAACACTCTCCCCCTAAAGCCCTAAACCCCTAAACCCTTAAACCCTAAACCCTATATCCTTAAACCCTAAACCCTCTCAGGCCATCGCCCATGTGTCCATGGCTGGCTAGGGCTCGAGGTGGCTCCACATCGGGCACGCAGCGATACACCTTCCCATTTAGATTCAGGTTACAGGGTTGAGGGTTTAGGGTATTCAGGGTTTAAGGGTTTAGGTTTTAGGGTTTAGGATTCTCAGGCTACAGGGTTTAGATATGGGCGGGGCATCAACATCAAGGGCACCTTGTTCAGATTGTCCTTATTATGAAGATCCCCTGGTCAGGGTCTGCAATATGGGGTCCCGCCTCGCCTCTAGACGTGCTAGAGACAATACCGGGGTCCTGATATACAGAAACATGGGCGGGTCGTTAAATCCAAAGGAGCCCTCCGAAAAGGGATCCTTCACTTCAGAACGGGGCAGACAGGAAGCAACAGGATTCAGGGCTTTGAGCTTAGTGTCTCGAGATATAGGACCAGCAGCTTCTAGAGGAAGGTTCGTGGGCAGATTCTACTGATCGGGCTAGGAACGAAGCCAAAGTCGCCAACACTTCGACTTATGACCCGCTGAACTGAAAGCCCATAGAAACCCCAAACCCTAACCCCCTAAACCCCTAAACCCTAAACCCTAAACCCCTAAACCCTAAACCCCTAATCCACTAAACCCTAAACCTCTAAACCCCTAAACCCTACACCCCTAAACCCTTACATGACAACTGCGCGGGCCCCTGGAGCCTTCTACGTCGCTTCAGTGGACCCGGCGTCTTGTGGGGTTTCACCAGGCTTTTATTCGACTCCACACCCAGGTTCTAGGGTTTAGGAGCTTTGGGTTTAGGGTTTAAGGGGTTAGGGTTTAGGGTTTAGGAGCTTTGGGTTTAGGGTTTAGGAGCTTTGGGTTTAGGGCTTAGGAGCTTAGGGTTTAGGGCTTAGGGTTTAGGAGCTTTGGGTTTAGGGTTTAGGAGCTTTGGGTTTAGGGCTTAGGAGCTTTGGGTTTAGGGTCTAGGGTTTAGGAGCTTTGGGTTTAGGGTTTAGGGGTTTAGGGGTTTAGGGTTTTCACCCTGCATGTTATAAATCACCCAGGCACCGCCAAGTCTTCGTCAGTCAAGCCGTGCACGTCTTGCAAATACCTTGCCGTCTTCCCATCGGCTTTCAAAAACCGTTGTTGGTGGTTATAAATCCCCTTGTCTCAGTACGCAAACCATGATTTACAAAGCAAGTTCTCCATACCACAGGAACTAAGCTTCAAGGCCTTGATGGAGAGGTCGGGCGTCCGAAAGTGCTTAGATACCTTCCTTCAGGATAGGACCCCCCTCCCCGCCTCGGAAATCACGTGAACTCACCTACTGTGATATGGAGGTCGCAGAAACCAGTAATAGTATACCCTTTTAGATGCACCATAACATACCCTCCTCCAAGATCTTCTCATGAAGACCTCCTCCACTAGGCCAAGCCCCTCTATTCATGCCCTTCGAGCCCAACTCCCAAACACACCCTAGCCCTAAACTCTAAAACCCGAAACAACGAAAATAACAAAAACACAACTCAATGGTAAACCCTAAACCCTAAAACCCGAACCAACGAACACAAAACAAAACAAAACTCAATGGTAAGTCCAAAACCCCAAGCCGCCCCCGGCAGGAGGAGATCCGAGTCCTTGGCTCATCATCGATCAGCTGGTTTCCGGTGAAGCTGTCCTGTTTTAGGGCCGTTGGGGTTTATAAGGCCTAGGGGGTTTAAGCTTCAAGGGTTTAGGCTGTGGGGGGTGTAAAAAGTTCAGGGCTCGAAGTTCAGGGAGCACAGAGAACCAACTTCAAAGAAGACTCTAAACCCTAAACCCTAAGCCCTAAACCCTCATACTCTAATGAGAGCCCTCCTGAACTCTCAGCTCCAGGTTCGAAACTCCGAAGGTGACACTACCATTCAGTATGAAGCCCGAAAGCACACAAGAATCTAAGCAAGCCCGAAGCATCGTTGAAACCCGGTAGACCCAAAACCATGCCAAACACTCATCTGAAACTCCATCCCTAGGGTTACATATCCCTACAGAAGCCTATGGAAGCCCTCCAAAAACCCATGCGCGCCTACAGTAGAAGAACCCTGAGAAGAAACCTGAAGAAATCTACCATGGGCCGAACCAAGTCGTGTCCTCGGAGGACACGAGGCCCAGCACGCAGTCGGACAGGATTTGTGCCTGCCACAGCAAAGAACCGGGGCGCTCCGGTGAAAAACTGAGCCTTTCAGGCTTTACCTAGTCTCCATTGTAGTTCCTTTTTTGGTTTAACCAATTCCATATTAAGGATCAGAAAAAGTAACCCCAAAAAAGAACTACAATGGAGATTATAGGTAGGGTTGAGGGGGTCTAGGCAAAAAGAGAGAGCCTTTGAGGAATTCGGGGAGGAAGAAAAGGAGTCTTGACTCTCGGGTTGAAGTTAGGGTTTAGGGTTTTAGGGCTTAGGGTTTTAGGGTTTTAGGGTTTAGGGTTTGGGGTTTAGGGTTTTAGGGCTTCGGGTTTTAGGGTTTTAGGGTTTTAGGACTTTAGGGTTTTGGGTTTAGGGATTAGGGTTTCAGTTTTCGGGTTTTCATTGCCTGAGGCCAGTGAGGCGACCCAGGAAACCTACACAGCATGGACTCTGGAAGCCATCTTCATTGGAGCAAACCAAAAACACATGTCGCCCATACATGTCGAGAGCCTCAAGAACATCAAACCCGAACGAGCAGAACCCCCTCAAAAAAAACTTGCCAACTTCCCAACACCCAAAACCCCCCAATACCCCCCAAAACCCCTAAACCCTCAACTCCTAGTCCTAAACCCCAAAACCCCTAAACCCTCAACTCCTAGTCCTAAACCCTAAAACCCCTAAACCCCTAAACCCTCAACCCGAAAATCCCCAAAGCCCTCAGCCCCAAACTCCGAAACCCCTAATCTGACGGCTCTGCTTAGGGCGCTTCAAGGCCGACTTTCCCGGCTCTTCGGAAGCTGTGGAGCCCTCGGCCTTGACTTTAAAGGGGCGAAGAGATTTTTTGGAATTTAGGGTTTAGGGTTTACACGGGGTTTAGGGAGAGATTTTTTTTAGGTTTTACAAGGGTTTTTAGGGTTTAGGGTACACTTATGTACAAGGGTTTAGGGTTTACATGGGTTTACACGGGTTTAGGGTTTACAATAGTTTAGGGCAGTTTAGGGTTTACAAGGGTTCAGGGTTTAGGGTTTACAAGGGTTCAGGGGGTTTAGGGTTTACACGGGTTCGGGGTTTGGGGTTTGCAAGGGCTCAGAGGTTCTAGGGGCTCAGAGTAGCTATGGACCCCAAACACTGCAGAAGGACCAGGATCTCGAAACCTTGGCCATACGGTTGATGATATAACTCCTGCATTACCTTGAGGACCCTAAACTATGGGATTAAGGTATACTCCTTATTCTGGGTAATGCAG